CCTTGATGGCCTCCTTTTCTTCCTCCGTCTTAGGGTGGTAACCAGGAATCTTTTCCTTGATCTTCTCCAAGATACCCTTCTTCTCCTTGGGCTCGCAACCTACTACTGCAGGCTCAGCATGCTGATCATGACACTGCTGATCATCATACGAAGCTGGAATCTCTTCTTTCTTCTGCTGCCCTGGTATCTTTTCCTTTATTTTCTCAAGGAAACCCTTCTTCTCTTCCTCTTTCTTTTCTTCATGAGTTGGCTCCTCGTAGATCTTCTCCACTGGGACGGCTGTGTCCTCCACCTTCTGATCATGATCACCGGGGAACTTCTCCTGGATCTTATCCTTCAATCCCTTCTTTTCTTTCTTCTTCTTCTTTTTCTCTTCTCCTTCACCTTCCTCTTCGTCGCTCGACTGCATATTCATTAGATAATATTTCAATCAGTCAAACAACTTTAATTATATAATTAATTAGGTTACCATCTATATATCTAGAAAGGGAAAACCTAAAGAACACTTGACAATTAATTAGTCGTTTTGAGAAACAGGTGGCATATGCAGAAGGAGATCATCTGCCAAATCATGAATGCCACATGGAATGGAACATCTTGCAAATAACTATACACACATGTATACAATATAAGTTAATGATCGAGTAAAAAAACTTACAGAGCTAGAGCTGCTGTCGGATCGGTGAAGCTTCTCCAAAAGACTACAGTGCTTCTTCTCCTTATCCTCCTCTTGTTCTACTTTGTATGACTCTGGTTCATGATGATGAGGATGAGGTGCCTCGTGATCAGACACTTTGACCTTCTCAAACTCAGTGACGATCACCTCCTCCTGAGGCTTCTCCGCCCCTTTCTTCCCCAGGAAATCAAACAAGCCCCGATCCTTGATCTCACCACATTCAGCTGCGCGCGCGCCTGATCCCTCCTCATATTCACCAACCTTCCCTTCATACTCACGATCTTGGCTTTTGTTGTACTCCTCCGCCATACTTATCTGTATATTTATGTATAAATGTTTCGAACGATGATGATGAAATAAATAAGCAAGCAAGAGAATTATAATATGCTTTGATGTTCTTTGCTTATGGAGGAGGGTGTGAGCTTTTATAGTAGCACCCAACGCGGATATGACGCGATTAAGTTAAAACCACTTATTATAATTAACACTTAGATGAGCTGTTAGCCGTAGCTTCCCAAATCCTAATCCCCTGTAACCATTTTTTTTTTCTTTTGATAAATTACACCAAATCCTGTACCATTTCCCCTTTTTCCTTCGTCCAACCGACCGACGTGGTGCATTCAATCATAATCAATCGAAAAGCATTTGTACCCACACCACATTTCACAATCGCTTTTCACTCGCTGTACCTTTCCGACACGTGTCTCTACAGTAATGTGCCAGTTGCCAGCGCGAGTTGTGCTTGTTTCGTACGCAAATCAATAAGCAAAACCAAACAGTCAAAAGGCCAAAGAAGAAAGTAGAAAAGATGCCATGCCAGTAGAGAGAGGACAAGGACACGGTGTACAGTCAGTGGGCTAGTGCTGAGACGATGGACCAATAAATGGCTGCAACGTGTCATATGAACGTGGGAGGGGTGTAATTGTCGGACCCTTCTAGTGTCGGCCTTGTTTGGATAAATGTGAGAAGGTCGGTGTGATGAGTGGCCCACGTGGCAGCCAGTTTACGTTGGAAAGAGGAGAGGGAGGGGGGGTGTCTTCGAGATTTGCCACTTGTAGGTAGGTGCACGGTAAGCTTTCATGGTGGGCCATTTTTCATCTTCATCAGTTTGAAGTATGATGGATGGACGGTTGTTATGTTGCCAGCAGCACATAGTGGGCATCGGCATACGTTTAGTTGGGTCCACTTTGGGTGGGGTACAGTATATTTATATCATAGTCTATTGGAACAAAATGGGCTGGGCTAGGCTGGGAGTGTCTTGGTGTTGCCACTTGCCACAACTCTCGAAAAATCGCACAAGCGCCGTACCGTTTTCGCTTTGGTTTCAGCCCCTAGAATTAAATCAATCACTATATCAAGAAAATAATAATCATTAATAATTTCAAGAGTTGTTCTCCTGTTTACATCACACTTTTCCTTGTTAATTATAATACTTAAATTATTAAGTTTTTAAATTTTATTATTGTGTATAAAGATAAAAAAGGTCATCCAACTTAATATTTAATATAGTACATCTATACACACGTGAAACACCCACCCCACACACTCTTCATATTAAACTTTAGAAAAACACAAATACCTTTACACACTATTACCAAATTACTTTTCTTTTTTAATACAAGAAACCGATTATACTTTCATCCAAAAAGATTCGAACATAATTACACTAATATGTTTACGTTCCAAACCAAAGTAAGAGGCATTGCATAAACTCAATGAAAGGATAATCGATGTCAATGTCATGGGTCGGTCTTCTTAATACCACACCCAATAACATGTTGTCAACTCAAACAAATTAATACAACACCCGAAAAGCAAAAATACCTCTCAACATTCCAAATGTCATCTATGAATAGCACATAATAAACAAAATTATTCTATTGGATGTGGGTGTGGAATGTGAGGTTGATGAGTTATTTATTTATTTTTCTTTTGGTTTGTATTTGGGGTAGTTTGGGAAAATAGTATGGTTTTCTTAGAAATTGTAAAAATTTAAATTAGAAATTGAGGTGAACTTAAAATAGAGGGTAAACAAAGATAAGTGCGAGATTTAAATAGAAAAACTCTAATTTTAATCAACTTTTGGACAGGCTGACAGGTCATTTTCCTTTTATCACAAATAGTGCCTGAGATTTTTAAAATACTGGAATAATAATGGTGTACTATGGCCCAATGGTAGGAGGTTTTATCAATAATAGACAAAATTTACACCCCAATTTCATAAATGTCATTTTTTATAAAAACTTTCAAATATAGCCAAAAATCCACTTAAATTGATACAAATACCCTCAAAATTAAAACATAATTACCCATAAAACCAACCTCTTCCCATTAACTATATTACTATAACAACAAAACTAAAAGAGGAATTTTCTTTTGGGGTTTTCACTAAAACACCCAAAATGGGGGCTGAAATTATAAAAAAATCCCAACACCCAAAACACTTTATAAACACACCCAAAACCCATCATTACACACACTCAAAACCCATTTATAAATACACCCAAAAAATATACAATTGTTGATTTTGGGGTCGATTTTGGGTGTGTTTCTATGTTTAAATAGTGTTAGAGTTTTTTTATAAATACATGTCTAGGATTGAGTTTATTTATAAATTTGTATTTTCTTTTTCCACAAACGAAGACTAAAGTCCCAATTATGTTGCTTCTCAACACAAATACAAACATAGAACCTCAGAGATTGACCATGAAGAAAATCAAAATCCCATTTTGTTTTTGCTCGACTTTTGTAGATCTAAAAATTTCCTCATATAAGAATAAAAAACCTTCAATAAAAAACAATGGAACCCATATCAAGCAAACACAGCAAAATCCCAACAATATTTGCCTTCTGTTGGTTTTTCTGTTCCAAAAGAATACAAACGCAGAATCATTTTATTTAATTTAAGAGAGTGCAAGGGAGATATTATTATATTAATATAGTTTGAAATTAAAAGGAAAAATCACATACGACCAGACATAAGCATTTTATTCAACACCATAGTTCTGAGTTATTTGGTTTGTAAGTTCGTTGTTATTTGATTTAATTTTGAGGATATTTGTGTCAATTTAAGTGGGTTTTTGACTGTATTTGAAAGTTTTTATAAAGTTGACATTTATAAAATTGGGGTATACATTTTAGCTATTATTGATAAAAACTCCAATGGTAGCTCAATGACTGGGGATGTTTGTCAGTATAAATAATGGTAGCTCAATGGATGAAAAGAAATTTATATATAACGGAAATAACACTATTTTGTTATTTTCGGTCAATAACACAATGACATATAAAAAAATTATCCTACATGTCATTGTATTATTGATCGAAAATAACAAAAAATTATATCCGCATTACATGAGAATTTCTCTCCAATGGCTAGGCCGTCATTTTTTTCTGCCTGATACTATTAAATGGTAAGTTGGTTTCACATGGCCCCATTTCATTGAATCATTCTCGCGCACATAGGCCAACCTTATCCACCAAGGCGTATTCAAAGTTTAATTTCGAATCAGTTGAAAGTAATTACTTAAAAAGGCTATGTGATGTGATTGCTCGCAAGAATAATAAAAAATAAGGGAAAACATTTGCTGGACTACCACTTGGCAATTACTTTTATACAAATTTATAAATAAACCCAATCCTAGACATGTATTTATAAAAAAACCCAAGCACTATTTAAACATAGAAACACACCCAAAATCAACCCCAAAGTCAACTTTTTGGGTGTGTTTATAAATAGGTTTTGAGTGTGTGTAATGATGGGTTTTGGGTGTGTTTATAAAGTGTTTTGGGTATTGGGTTTTTTTATAATTTCAACCTTCATTTTGGGTGTTTTAGTGAAACTCCCTTATTTTTAAAAGAGAGAATTTGAAAAATAAGTAAATGATGGCAAATATAAGATCAGACGGGAAAAGGCTCCAGAAAAACACTTTGGATTGGGCTTCGGAATTTGGCCTGGCTCAATTACTATTATTATTATTAGGCCAGAAGCTCACATTTGTCGTCAAAGTCATAAGGTCTGTCAACTGATCCAATAAGTCCAAGCCATCCCCCTTCTCTTCGCTATGGGACCAAGGTACAGGGGGGCTAGAATGAGGGGTTATTATGAAGCTTTATAACTTTTAATGAGGGGGTCCTTAATAGCCGTTCAATCCAGTGTGTTGGATCGGGTTGGACAAAGTATTTGGCCCAGTTAAGATCAAGCAAGGGGTTAGAGAGAGACAAGACAACAGCAGCAACATATACTGCAATGCAAACTAACTACATTGATAATGGAAAAAAAAATCATATCATAGTGCAACTAACTAAATTGATGATGAGGGTGTACAACAAAGTCAATGTGGGAGGATGAATATATTTTAAGTCAACTCACAATCAGCTTTGCCCCTGCAAGATAAATAGTTAGGCAAACAAACTCACAAGGCATAAGGCATTGGTTAAGAATGCTGAATTGCTCAAGCATCAACCAGAATCACACCCTCTTCCTCTTCTTGGCATGAACAATGACTTCTACTAGCAGCTACCAAATCAGTTCACCAAGAATTCCATCCAGTTCGTATACCTACTGTACTGCTTTCATACTTGATACCGCTAACAGATGTAGCTTCTTTTCAATGTTCAGGTAAACAAGTATCATCTTTGAATTCCTCCATCTTCTAGGTTGGATTTTGCTGATCTAATGTTGGTGATTAGAGACTCCCCGGCACCACTTAAACCTTTCCTCCCAACCAACCTCACCCCAAATTCCTGATTTAACATTCTCATCCTGTTCTCTTCACCTTCTTCCTCACTCAGCTTAATGGCTTGATTCCTTGAAATTAAGCCATACAGACAGAGACTGAGACATCCCACGTCCAAATATTTCCCTCCAAATTTCACCATCAATAGTGAGTTACTAGAATCAACCTCATTTGACCTGGGATCAAACAAAACAGAGAAGCTCCCAAACGTTAGGTCAGGGGTGTCAAATAATTTATTCAAATCGTCGCTTTCCCCCCCATAAACATTGTTTAATTTTTCTGATGGGATAATTGACCTCCTTTTAGCCACTCTCAGTATATTAGCAGCCTCTCTCATTCCACTGAGTAAGGCTCCATGCATTGTTGCTGGATACTGCTTGTTAGTGGCCTCTCCGGCAAAGAACACTCTCCCATCCCCAATGCTCTCTGCAAGAATATCATAATCATCTCCTGAAGACCCTACCGCAACATACGAATAAGAACCATATGCAAAGGCATCCTTCCCCCACCTAGTGCACACTGCCTGAATAGGGTCTGGAACAGCAATCCCTTTCGGGTTGAAAATACCCCTTAATATCTCCAACACCCTATTCACAGACTCCACAGGAGACATCAACTCAAACTTAATGGCAGCATCTCCAGCAACAAGAGCAACCAGAAGAGGCCCTCCTGATACAGAAGAGTAGCTATAAAACAGAAAGAACTCACCTCTCATACTCGGATCTTCAGTCAAATGCCCAAAAGTATCAATATCTCCACCCCAAAAATTATAAGGGAATAGTATGGCAACCTTATTCAATAATCCGAATCCTAAACTCTGAATTGCATCTTTCTTCCTTTGTGGAAGCTCTGGGACAAATTCAATGGAACCCTTCTTAAGCACACCTAATGGGACTGTGCAAAGAACCATGTCCCCGCGAAACTCCTGACCATTTGCGTAAACCAAAACCCCATCAGAGCCGTACCTAATACTTTGCACAGTCCTTTCATAGAAGATTGGAAGGCCCTCTGAAAGGGATCGCACAAAGGTCTCATTGCCTCCCGGAATAAAACAATGGTCACCACCCATCTCATAGGGATCATCCTGATCCCAATAGGCCATGGACAAATTGGACATTAAGGAAGCATTTGCATATTCCAAGTTAGCCAGATGCCAATCCAAGAGCATACGCTCTTGCGGGTCTTGGGCAACACTATAAGCACGTCGAAAAGCTTCAAGTGCAGTCCCTAAGGAAACATCCACGGACTTAACTTCCTCGATCATTGCGTGCCTTAGCTTACACACTCTATCTAACAACTTATTAAAAGAAGCCTCTATCCTAGAATCAATTTCAGAATTCACTGCTTTCCCATCTGGTAAATAGAGCGGGCAAATGTCCCTCACCTTATGAAGAGGCAAACCCAGTTGCCTAGCTAAAACCCCTAACGGGTTTCCATTGATTCCGGTGAGGACACTGCCACCGAGATCCGCTGCAGCCTCCACGCCCTCGCCTTTCATTTTCCTTGTCTTCACGCGCCCACCAGGCCTGTTCCTACCTTCCAAGACCACAACTTTGAAGCCCAAGAACACCAGTTGCCTCGCCGCTACCAAACCGGCCAAACCAGCCCCCACAATGACCACATTGCCCCTCTCGACCCCATCAAAGGAGTTCAATTTGGCTTCTTTAACCGCCGGTGCAAGCCCAAAGTTGATGTAGCCGTGCTCCACCAGAAAGTCGTAAGCTGAGTCGACCAGGCCTTTGTGCTCCAAGCGAATCGACTCCAGGGCCAGCTCCCGGGTCAACCAGAAAGAGACATTGGACCTCCACCGAGCCAAAATGTGGTTCCGCACGACGATATAGTTGGCTTGCTCAACGCCGCCAATGGTGGGGACCACGTTTGCCTCGATCTCCTCCTCCGTGAGCGAGTCGACCGGAAATCCGACTGAGATTGCAATTAGGGCTTCTACGTCAACGTCTTTGTTGAGGTCGGTCCGGCGGTTCTTGGCCAACGACGGAGTGCTGTTGAGCTCCGTAAAGAACTTCTTCCTGCGACGACGTCTCTTGGCCGGCGGACCGGGCTCGGCTGGACCAGGTTCGGCTGGGTTTGGAAGGCCTTGTTGATCAAGAAGGGAGTCTTCGCCTTCGGGGATGGGCTCGGACGAGTCATCTTGAGAGTCCGATATCGGAGCATCAAGAGTCGTTCGGGGAGGTGCGGACGGGTTTTCCGACGAGTGGTTTTGGGAATGGTGATTGTCGTGAGGGGTTGAGCCTGAGAGTGTTAGGTCGGTTTCCGGCGATGACTCGTCGAAGACGACGTCGTTAGGAAGATTATCGGAAGGGTCCGTTGTTTCCATGTGGGTATGTCATTCATTTGGCTCCACTCCGATATGGACTGTCCTACTTAAGCCAATTCGTTTCGACCATAAAAAATACTTAAGCCAATTCTAATTTCTATCTCTAGGGCTTTTGGAATTCAAAGTAACTTAGAAAGGCCCATCTGCAATAGAATTGGGCCGGGTGAAGAGCCAGCCCAGCCAGCCAAGCCGTCCTAAATTTAATTTTAAAATCTTTTAAATTAATTTAGAATTTTAAAAAGGGAACAAAAAGGAAGAAAAAACGAAAGGAAAAGGAAAGTTATTGTGAGAGGGGAGGTCCACGGGACGGGGAGACGCAACGAAGCCCAGCGATTCGAATACTCGTCGTTTGTCTTTCGTCGTTCGTCGTTCGTCGTTGAAATCCATTGTTGAAGAGGAGGGACCTGGGAGCTGCTGTGGAGATTAAAATAAATAGATAGAAGGAAAGCGAAGGGGCTGCAGGCTTGACCTTGAGTTGAGAGAGATGATAACGCGATCGAATCTGGCAGAGCAGTTGAGAGAGTATCAGATTCGATCGAAGCATGACTGGGCCTCCGTCTCCTTCTTCTCCTCCACCTCTAATCATACTTTATCAAGGTTTGCCTACCCCTTCCGTTTCTCCTTCAACCTTTGATTTTTTATTTTCTTTGCTGTCTGATTGTGGGATCTATATTCTTAACAATTTGATTCGAAACCTATCGTTCCATTAAATTTGCTTTTCCATTTTGAGCTAGATCAGATTTTGGCTTTGATAATTGCTAAGCTTTTATAGGCGAAACTTTAGCTTCGATACCTAAATCCCTGTCGTTGAAGCTCGGATAAATTGATAGCTCTAGGTCTATAGTTTTTTCATTTCTTTCCTTTTTCTTTATATATTAAAAAATATATATATATCACTTGGGAATTTGTGAAATTTTCCTTTGTGGTAAATAATTGTTGTCTGGAAGAAGCTATGTCATCTATTTTCCTCATACGCTGATGGTAGAAAATAAGGGATAGAATCACGGTAGTTGAAATAGAAGTGGAAAATATAATGAGGATCAAAAGTTTCTGTTGGTATAGTGCCTGCCTGTTTTTCAAACTTGGGAGTGGCTCCCTGCCATCAGGATTCAGGTGCCTCTTTAGATGCACATAAATTCAGATGATTGATTCATTTTAGGGAGGGAAGTTTCCCAAATTGTTGTCTGCATTCTCTAAACGAAGTTCCAACAAATAGGAAAAGGGTTATCTTGGATAGTGTGCATTTGAGCACAAATGTTGTCTTTGATCGTACTCTTGCCTTTTGTACTTATTGAGCTTGGTTTGAACTGGGGTTGAGGTATCTTTTTTATCCATGTATACCATTGCTAACCATGTGGAAGTTTTGTGGTTGAGTTATCTCATTTGTGCTTGTTTTTAATCCTTTTTGGTATAGTATTGTTGATGATAATATTCCTTTTTCTCCCCAACTTGTGGATGCAGGGTGGATGTTGTGCTCTTTGTAATATGGGAACTGGTAATCCTAGCTTTCGTGGTTTTTTCAGCTGTTTCTTTATATTTTAGGCATATGCGACTTGCTTTTCTCTTACTATGCATAGCAATGCTTTTGCTTTTGTGCATAAAAATTACCAAGCAAGTGAGATTGGCAAGGAAAAAGAAACGAAGGATGCTTCTTCCCTTATCTATGTAATACTAGATGAAGGTCACATACTACCCAACCTTATGGTGTAAATCTTGAAAATTATTGGCCAATTGCATTTGGTCTATATCCTCTTTTTTGTTATTGGAATGTGTAATCACACCTTCGAAATATTAGTAAAAAGCGGATGTGATTACTCTGTAAGATGCTGATCCGAGTGGCAGCAAGTTCATTGATCGAGATAGGAAGATTTAGTGAGTGGGGGGCTATTACTACTGAGGCATTGATGATTGATGATTGATGATGTTTGTTTTACTTATAAACAATACAATGACTTGAGAAACAAAGTGTTGCGGCATTCAGATGCATGCTCAAAGTGTTTTTATTGCAGCGTGGATATGCAGCATAAGTACAATTGTTTTAGATATCCAAACAGTTGTTGAAGTTGTTGCTTTCCTTCTCTAAATTCAGCGTTGGGTCTGTTTCTTTACAAGGTAATGGTAATATCACTAGGACCAAGTGAAAGAGGTCCGATTGATAGCATTTGGTTGATAGCATATCATTTCTAGACTTTGTGGTGCTCTTGTTGCTGCAGTTGCTTATTCAGGCTTGAAGAAGTGGACTTGTATTCCTATGGTCACTATATTCCAAATTGCTCCAGTGACAATTGAAATGCTAAGGACAATCCCCAAGGATCCGAGTAGCCAGTGAAAGATTGCGCTGTATTTACAAGGCTTCTTGATCAATATCCACATGAAGCATGGATATGCCAAGGTGATTGGTACGGCAATTCCTCCAAGCAATCCTGCCAAGCTGGGCAAGAATGGTAGTGCGACCGCTATAAAAAAGGCAAAGCAGCCAAAAAATATCCTAAAGCCAGAGCGGAGCCACCGTGGACATGGTTTGTTCATGCAGCTAGTAAATCTGAGTTCCAGATTGTCAAAGACTGGCATTGCATATATTTGAAACGAGCTCAGGCTGTTCACCACAACGAGCATGCTTGTCAATCCCAGGACAAACTTTGATGTGTCATGACTGTGGAATTTGTACAAAGCATTTAGCATCCCTCCATTTGAAGGTATCTGCCATACAATTACGATACGTTAGTTAGTTGGGGAAGCAGGATTTATAATCGCTTTTATATTTATGTTTTTAATTTTGCCAAAAAGAAAGAACCCGACTGTTACATCTATAAAATTAATCGTTAATAATTTGTCCTAGTGACCTCGATTTATCCAAATAATCAATCCGGGTCAAGAAAAGATTATATTGGACCGAGAAACCAAAAGGATTTGCGTTGTTTCTTACCGAATTTCCATAAGCCCGGTAGCCGGCAATTGCTAGGGGAAACAAACACAGTGCGATGATGAGATATGCGAACTTCACCCCATTCCACATTGGCAAGCGCGAGGGGCTCTTGGTGCTCGAAGGCATGGTTCCCTGCATGCATGTCAACGAATGATAATAATAAATATAGATATAACTACGTCTATTGTTTCTCTTAAATTCCATGATACCTGTATTTCGAGCACAAGATTGTGGCCTCTGAAAGCGAAGGTAATTATCCCAAGCGCATTTAGAACACTGAAAACGGTGGCTGCTGCTGCATTAGGTTTTGGTTCCGGCGGCTGATAGGAAACAGCAGGCAGTGGCCTATGTTTGGTTATGGAAGCCACCCAGATGAGCGTGCAGTAGCTCACGGCGGTGAGAGCCCCAATGAGGGAAATTCCAGCGATGGAGTTGAGGTTAGGAAGCTGAGCAACAAGGATGGCAGAGCCGGTGAACACCAAGTACCACTCTATCGTCGACAGTGGATTCACTACGCCGGTACCACCGCACACGATTTCATAAAATATTTTCATGGTCCCACCGCCGATCATGATCAGGGTTACGCACGTGCCACCTGAGAGGTACATGATTGGAAACAGCGCAAGAAATTTCCCCAGTTTCTCACCTGTGACGTACGCATATATACACACACATGCATGCACATGCATGCACTTGATTAGTTTTCAAAATTAAATAGGCTAGCTAAGTATGTTGCTAAAAGGAAAAAATCTTTTGAATACATTTTTGTTTCCTTGTTTTTTTAATCTAAAGACGCCAAATTACTTTCTCAGTAAGCAAGATTATTTATTTTTTAGACTAATAGATAATATCGTAGATTCAAAAGAGGGTCCACCTCCGGTCAATATCACACAATTCAATTCATGCAAGATTGTTACGCTTCTATATCTATATATATAAAGCAAAATGCAGAGAATAGTGAAACATTCAAAATACCAGAAAATACCCTTCGATAATTCAAACATTAAGAATTTTCTTTATTAATTAAATGAGGATAATATGGTAAATTCACATTTTTTTCTTCATATTTAAACAAAATAAAAATAAAAACAAAATCAGATAATAAGTCCTATTTTTATGGAATATAACTACCTATGTTATCTTTTCTTAATTCTAAAAATAAAAATAAAAATAAAAATAAAAATTAAAAAGTATTAAAAAATTAAAATAAAAATAAAAATGAGATAATGGATCCTATTTTTATGGAACACAACTACCCATTATCTTTTTTAATTCTAAAAATAAAATAAAAAATAAAAAAGAAAGCCAATTGGCACATGTGTGAGCATGTGCCAAGGGGCTAGTATATATTATAGAGTTTCGATTGAGGTATCTAGCAGATAAGCTTTATTTGAGAGACATTCTTATAGAGCTCACTCTAAATTGTATTTAACTCATTCAAACCGTCTATTTTGTAGATATTCATTCAAAGATCATCTCTATAAAAAATCCCTTAAATCTGATATTATTTTGCAGTTCAATTAAATTATTAAAATTTAAGTACTTTCTTGAAGCAACATATTGATTGATTTTGTAAGTCTCAATTAGATGCTTTAATGATTTTCAATTTATCTGATTTTTTGCAAGGATGATCTATGGACGAAGACTTGAAAAATAGACGGTTTGGATCATTGAAAAAAAATTAGTAGGGTGAAAGATCCCTCAAATAATTTTATCTAGCGATTTTCCACTGATCCAAACAATCTATTTTTATGTCTACATTCATAGATTATCCTTGCAAAAAATTAGACAATCGAAAACCGTTTCGATATCCAATTGTATCATACAAAATAAATGAATAAGGTGTTTCAAGAAAGTACTAAAATTTCAATAACACAATTAAGTGGACACACGATAACGGATTCAAGTGATCTTTCATAGAGATAATTTTTGAATGATTATCTAAAACATAGACAGTTTGGATTAGTGACATACAATGCGGAGTGGGCCCTACAAGGGTGTTCCTCAAATAAACTAATTTGAGGGATTCCTTAATGGAAACTGTGTGTGTGTGTGTGTGTATATATATATATAGTTGAATGATTGAGATTTCTTGCCTAATATAGATCTGGGCTAGTAGCATGCATCATCGGTCACTTGTTTAATCATTATCTAGCGATTAGTGAACTAATAATAAAGGTGAAAGTGATGGATAATTAACCAAAGCTTGTATATAGTTATAATTCTTCAAAGCCAATAATATCATACTAATTATCACGAAACCGTATACATTTTATATTGTTTCTTGTTGAGGTGACGACTCATGCGAACCCTAAAAACCGCATATTGATTTTTCCTTAGTATTAATAATCTTCACTATTGTTTAATTATTATTAATTTGGAAAGTGGGGACTCTGTGAAGACGTTGCAAAGTTTAATAATAATTGGTCGTAGATTAGCAGTGAGTGAGTGAATGACCGCATAGAATTACCAAAAGCAGCCATGGAAAGGCGAAGGTATCTGCTGTAGCGCGTTCCAGACTCAGATTCATGCAGCTGTATGAGTAACCAGAGAGTATAGAGCTGCCATATGAAAGCCAGTGAGAGACATATAATTCCCCATGCCCTGCATTAGATATATCATCATCAGAAAAAGGATGTAGTTTTCACGTCAGTGAAGTTGCCATAACGAGGTACCCTAATATATAAGTAACGTAAAGGAAGAATTAAGAAAGTACTTACCAACCAAGAGCGGTGAAAGAGAGGGGAAGAAGGAGGGATGGAATTCCGATGCCTGAACTGAGAGTGTGAAAAGCGGAGTAAAAGGCATTACCATTTCTGGACTCGGTGATGGGAAGCCAGGCGTCCTGAGGATCAAGTTTTGTCAAGTGACCAACTTCTTCTAAGTAGCCTCTCATGCTTGCAACGGCCTTCTTCATCCTGGGGCTGGCTAGAGGAGTCGCCATAAAACGCGAACCAAATGGGCTCTTTGCAGGGGTTTTTGGGCTCAACGTTACTTCCTCCACCTCTTCCATCGCATCGCCCAAATCCAAAAAATATCTCTCTCTCTCTCTCTCTCTCTCTCTCTCTCTCTCTCTCTCTCTCTCTCTCAAACTGATGAATTTGTTGAGAGTTGAGGAGGGTTTCTGAAGAAGACCAAAATTTTTGTTGAATATATACAGAGAGAAGTGATAAAGCGACAAAATTAAGTAAGGTGGCTTTGAATTGTGAGGGTTGCTTTTTCTCCTTGTTTGGTTTTTAGCTATCTTTTTGGAGGGTTGGTCAAGGAAAGGGACCTGGCCTGGCCTCGCAACAAAACATATATGTAATAGGAATAACATTTTTTTGTTATTCCCGCCAATAACACAACAACATATGAAAAAATTATCCTACATATTAATGTGTTATTAACTGAAAATAGCAAATGATATTCCTATACATTTTTACCCAGACCTGGGGGCGGATAATGATTCATATGGATTGATGGCTGGATGGCTGGATGGCTGGATGGTGAGTAGGTGAATTAATAATTTAATGGAGTGGAATGTGGAAGGAAGGTTGTGAATGTGATGAGCCCTTAGCTAATCGAATTGAAAGTAGCAAGCTTCTTTTGACTGGGCCACGTTTGGCTGCTCCTGCCGTACGTGATATGCATTTCTTTTCTATAAAGATGATGAAGATGTCACAGCCCATTACTAGTCGTCAAAGTGTTATTGGGCACTTTTTCTTTTTCGGGTTTGTCCGTTTGGGATTGGTAGGAGGGACTTTCAACCACATTTTATTCAACTAATAAGAACATTGCATTTGCCACCCTGCCCGCCTGGTCCATGCCATTCATTTCCATGGAAAGCTCAGTCTCATCACTAATGGAATGTTTATTAATCTGTAATTGAATTAGGAGGAATTGAATTGAGGATGAGTTAGATTGAGGAGAATTAGATTCTGAATTCCTATTGAAGTTGTTTACTAAACCATATTGATTGAGGAGAGTTAGATTTTAGGTTCCTATTGAAGTTGTTTACTGAATCATATAGAATTTGGGTATGAGTGATTCTAATTACTAAAATGTCCTCGTTGTTAGGTTAAAGTAAATGGCAAATATAGAATTTTAAAAATTATGTGAGGATATAATGAGTGAAAAAGATGAATTCCTAATGGGTTAGTTATCCAAGAATTATAATACCATCTCCCCACCCAATAATTGAAGTCCTCCAAAACCAGAAATTCAATTCCTAATTTTGTATGGACCCCACCTACTTGTCACCTCACTAATATCCTCGCGCACTTGTACGATCGTTAAAAAGAGAAGTTTCATCAACATAAACAGATCTGCCTGTTTGTAATCATGAGGGTAATGGATAAGCTTAATTAGGGGCCTGTTCACGCGTAGTTGTTGTACTAAACTAAAGTAATTAATTATATTGTGAGACATTAGAGATGATGGTAGTAGGTTTTGGTGGCTTACATAATTGTAGAAATATGACTAGAGTTTAGAGAAGAATAAGAAATATAATAGGAAGAATACCCCGCGATAAGTATTCTGGTTGTATTGAAGAAGTCACACTTGAATATGGCTACAGACTGCTGTAACTTGTTGGGAGTGTCTTGCATATTCATTGGCTGAAGGGTAGGATGCTCTTCAATAATAATCTCCTTCATGTGGCCTTGCAGCGAGCTTTCCTGGTGTCTTCTCTCTCTCTCTCTCTCTCTCTCTCTCTCTCTCTCTCTCTCTCTCTCTCTCTCTCTCTCGCTTTATGACTGACTGAATCTTATTCAAATTGCTTTTGTCTGGTTATTTTCTTCTACTTTTCTGTTTGTTGGTGTTGGTGGTTGTCCTTTTTCCTTAAAAAAGTTGTTCTTATGTATGTTGATAATGTTACAATTACAATAATACAAATTTATAAATAAACTCAATCCTAGACATGTATTTATAAAAAAACCCAAGCACTATTTAAACATAGAAACACATCCAAAATCAACCCCAAAGTCAACTTTTTGGGTGTGTTTATAAATGAGTTTTGAGTGTGTGTAATGATGGGTTTTGGGTGTGTTTATATGTTTAAATAGTGCTTGAGTTTTTTTATAATTTCAACGGGCATTTTGGGTGTTTTAGTGAAACTTCATAGGGAAACTCAAAATAATAATATTAGAAAAAGGATTTATTGAAGTGTACGTACAAAAACATACATGTATGTCTATAAAAGGGAAGGCAACAAATGAAAAAGAAATAATCATCCTGCTGATTAGGGAAGTGAATGCAGGATGAGATGAAGGGATGAAGTAGCTAGAATAGAGGAACTATTGGGGCTTAAAAAAGCTGACTTGAATTCCAGTGTCAATGACAACATAAATGCCAGCAGCTATGAGTATAATAGAGAGAACGGTGCCCAAAAGGCCAAGCCCCCAATTGAGGCACCACATAAAGCTGTATTTCTTGGGCTTCTTTACCTTCAGCCACAGAAAGCAAGGATAAGCGAAGGTAATCGGAATGGAGATCCCTCCGATCAGACCCGCAAAGCTACCTAGGAATGGAATTGCCACTGCTATAAAAAAGCACCCGTATCCAAACATGGCTCTTGAAATCGACCTGATCCACCAGGGGCACGGTTTTCGCATGCGTTTGATGTATTTGGACTCCATGTCATCAAACATGGGCATCCCAAATATCTGGAAGGAGCTCACCGCATTCATTACGATGAATAAGCTGGTCAATCCAAGAACCCATTGGGAAGTGTCACGTCCGTGGTATTCATATATTGCAGTCATCATTCCCCCATTCGGTGGAATCTATTTCCAAACACACTTGCAAACATGAGTAATTAAATAACACATACCACATGTATAAAATAAATCAATTAGGCATGCACCTTGTGTCCGTATGCCCAGTATCCTCCAATTGCTAGAGGAAACAAGCACATTGCGATAATTAGATATGCAACCTTTACCCCCCTCCACATTGGCACGTGCGATGGCTTTTTCTCACTTGAAGGCATGGTTGCCTGCATTCATTCATTTCATGCCACCACCATGTTAACATTATTAAATTTGTTGGGCCTGAAATTAATTTAGAAACGGGCAGGGCAGGTTTCTGGGCCACTTGACTTGATCACAGTCAAGGGTCAACGTTCCAACGGTACCTAGAACAAGCTGCCCAAGCCCAAACTAATTAATTAATTAATTAGAGATATAATTACCTGAATTTCTAGGGTAAGATTATGGCCTTTGAAAGCAAAGGAAATTATGCCAAGCGCATTGAGAACGCTGAAAACCATAGCGGTGTTGGTGTTTTCTCTTATGGGATCATAAGAGACTCCGTCAAGCCTTCCCTCAGTGACCGCGACGAGCCACATGATGGTGCAATAGCCAATGGCGGTGATGGCACCAACTAGAGAGACACCGGCAATGGAGTTCAGGTTGGGGAGCTGAGACAGAAGCACGGCGGCGCAGGTAAAGACCAAATACCACTCGACCGCGGTGAGAGGCTTGGAAGTGCAGTCGTGGCCGCACACAATCTCGTAGAAGAGCTTCATGCTGGAGCCGCCCACTATAATCAAGGCACAACAGGTTCCCCCAGAAAGGTAATAGATGGGGAAGACGGCGAAGATCTTAGCCATTTTGTCACCGAAGGTAGCACTGAAGAGCTGGAGATATCTGCTGTAACGCATCCCAGTTTTCGTGGATTCATGGAGCTTCACCAGAAGCCACAGGGTGTAAAGCTGCCATATGAACGCCAGTGTCAAGCTTATCACCCCCCATGTCCTGCAAATACCCCAAATTGCAAATTGCATGCATATATATTATATTATAATTTATATATACACACAAGACACAACACAACAAGGAAAAGGGTATGTTACGTACTAAGTAATATTAATAAATATATATATATTTATGTATATAATTAAGATGACGTACCATCCAAGAATGGTGAAGGAGACAGGGAGCACAAGGGCTGGAATTCCAATACCAGAGCAAAGGGTATGGAAGGCAGCATAGTAGGCATTGCCATTCCTTGACTCGGTGATGGGGAGCCAAGCGTCGTGATCCTGACTACGAGGGTCAAACTTGGTGAGTTGGATGGCCCTTCTAATTGGGCTACCCAATGGTGTGAAGAAATTGGGAGTGTGAGACTTTGGGGTAGCTGCTGCCCTATTGATATTATTTGGAGGTACAATAGAGAGTAGAAGGGGCTTCGTTGACACAGATGGTGAAGTTGTACTAGTGCTAGTGCCCTCTGGTGATGATGACTCCATGGGAGGTGCGCTTGCGGACACCGCATCATCATCAACCACATGACCATGATCATGATGATCTCCCGCACCTGCTTCCAATATTTGATCATCATCATCTACTTGTGTGGCACTCATCGTGATGATGATCCTAGGGTCATCATTAGGCTCGATACTAGTAATGGAAATATTGTCTTCCACTGTTGTTAACTCATCACCCATCTCTCTCCGGTTTTGATTCTGATCTCCCATGTATATATATGCTCTCATGCACCTCTCACCCTTTTTTTTATTTTTTCCCCCACAAACACTTGATCACAAAATGGCCATTGCTAATTAGCTTTCTATATATAGAGTATAGAATGACTCAGTTGTGAGTCTTTTTTCTGGCATAACATGTTGTGTGGTGAGTGGTGACACTGACATGCATCAATTACTATGGTTGTGGGTCGACAACTTTTGTTGACCGGCACTCAGGGAATCAAAACGCGCACAAGCTTTAAATTTCCTCAAAGGGTAGGGTCCTCACATGTCGTTCAACAATTTAATGAGATATCTTCTCCCATCAGTTTGTTTCTACAACGAATCATAAATAAATATGTAAGAAAAAGAAGAGGGACATCCATACCATTATATATTTTATTTCTTGATCAGCCTTAAAGTGGGGAAGGTCGTTTCTGCTTGAGTTGACTAATAAGGTTTCATATACTAGACAAGTAAAGTCTCAAATGAATCAGTTAATCATCAATTCAATTGAATCATTAGCCTCTTAACGGTGTCTTTTAGGAGACCGGATTCAGTCAATTCAACTCACTCTTGATGTTTTTAGTGATATATATATATATATATATATGTTGGGACTATTTCCCTCCCCTGCCTCCCTCCCTCCCAAAAAAAAGAAGAAGAAGAAAACAAGAGCTGCTATCAATGAGCGAACTGTAACATCAGTTTGCAATTTGTGAATATAAAAATATGTTTTGTTGGATAAGCTACCTCTTTGCCACGACGGTCTGACAACGCCATCTTTCCAGAAAGTTTGAAAAACCGGGGGAAACCTTTCCATGTCATTCCACATTTGTGGGATTAGAAAAATGCGTTTGAAATCAGAGGGGCAATAGCATTTATAATTTCTGTAGCAATGGGGACATGCAGCAGACGCAGTCCATAAGTCAATCTCAGGAAATTCAATTGCAGGATTGTCAAACAAGCGCGTTATACATGCCTTCTAGTAGCTTATATGTCTATAACTACTAGAAGCATCCATCCAAATTGTTAATTATTTGATTGGAAGCATCCATCCACTTCTCCCCGAAAGCTTTGTAATCATGCATGCATAAATAATTAGAGCATCAGTAATAATAACTCTGGGGACAGCGAACGATCTGGTATGGTAACTTCAATACCTGCTATGCGGCTCTGCCTCTGCTGGATTAGGTTTAAGAGACCTGAATTTTTTTGTAAACAAAATCTGCTGGATTAACTAGGTTTAGAGACGACGGCGCACGCGATAACCAAGTGAACAAGTAAAGCATGGCGCGACTTAATTTTGTCTTGGTTACAGTTGGGCCACTTGTTTAGTTTCAATTCAATAGATTTTTAAAGAAAAAGCCCAGAGGCCAGGCAGCAGATTTGATTGCCTTGCAAGGATAAGCCAGCCCACTTGGTCTTCATTCAATTTCAATACCAAACAACTCATACGTGCATATGCACTGCACAGTGTGCTTGCCTTGCACAGCGCGCTAAGGTTAAGGGCTTGATGAAGAAGAAGGTGCTCAGCATTTTCCACGTTCCAACAAAACCACATAAATGTGCTGATTGGATATGGATATATCTCATAGTAGGAACGAAAGCAAAGATTGCATGACATAACATAACATAACATATCATAGGAATTATTGAAAATGGCTCTGGCTGGGATGCAGAGACAGAATCCCATGTTATTTCAAGGATCCCTCCACTGCCTGTCGCATGCGAAAGCTAGCTCCAAATTAATTTGCAGCAGTCAAAGTTTAGAAGAAGAAGAAGAAGAAGTTGCAAGCTGAATAAGATCCTTCCTGAGAATCTTTCCAGATGGATTCTTAGGTACGGAAGCTATGAATGCCACTCTCCTGATTTTCTTGTACGGCGCCACCTGTTTCCCGACAAATTCCATGACATCCTTCTCCGACAAATTGCTTCCGGCTTTCCTTACCACATATGCCATCGGATACTGTCCAACCTTATCATCAGGAAATCTGCCAACAACATTTACAAATATTCAAACAGATTGAGTACGGAAAGGATAAATAGGAGATTTGTAGGTATGTAATTAATTCGATACTTGCTTTGTTGCCGTAATAAAATATGGAGAAAGACTCACGGTATAACAGCAGCATCAACAATTTGAGGGTGCGTCAGTAATAAAGCTTCTAGTTCCGCAGGGGGGACCTAAACCATCCACATAATTATTAATTGGGAGTTTCACTAAAACATCCAAAATGGAGGCTGAAATTATAAAAAAAATTCAACACCCAAAACACTTTATAAACACACCCAAAACTCATCATTACACATACTCAAAACCCATTTATAAACACACTCAAAAATTATACAATTGTTGATTTTGAGTGTGTTTCTATGTTTAAATAGTGTTTGAATTTTTTTATAAATACATGTTTAGGATTGGGTTTATTTATAAATTTGTATTATTTTAATATTCATCGAATTAGATTAGGTATGCCGCATGATCGATAAACAAACATCTCCTAAGTATTTCTTACCTTACAAACAAAAAACTAGAGCAATTTGGAAAACGAGTGCATACAAATTGACAAATGCGCCATACACATTTCCATCCCATTATCCCATATGCATGCATATATATAATGAAAACTACCTGATATCCCTTGTACTTAATGAGCTCCTTCAACCTATCAACCACAAAAATGAATCCATCCTCATCGATGTAGCACAGGTCTCCAGTTCTTAACCATCCTTGTGCATCAAGGGTCGCTGCAGTGGCTTCTGCGTTACTGAAATACTCTGCACTCGTACCAACCCACCCATGCAATATTATACATTACCACTCCAAGGTAAATAAAATACGTCATCAATCAAAACCAACATATATTCATTATGAATTAAAAATGGAAATGAATAATATATGAAACTCAACCAAAACTAACCGTATATATAATAATTTCAATTCACTTTAGATTAAGCAAGAGATTTTCATGCAACGCTATTTCGATGAATAGCACAGTGACAAGAGAAATAACTTTTCATTGCATTATTGCTAAAGGTTTTTTTGCTAGAAGAGACTAGACGTCTCAACTCCTAGTTAAGTAGTATATATAGCTCTTTATTTATTGTTTAAGAGAGACACGTAATTATATCATCCAGTACTTTAATTTAATTACAATAATCTCCCTATCTGTCTCGTGCTTGTATAATAATAATTAATATTAGATACCTTTTTTTGGGTAATATTAATATTAGATACTTCAAATATATATCTTAGTGACATTACCAATCAATTCATAAATAAAATAATAGAGCAAATGGTGAGTGGCTGTAGCTAGCCTTGTACCTTTCATGATGGTGGGACCCTTCAACCAAAGCTCACCCGTCTGATTCACTGCTAGTGCCTTACCGCTGTCCGGGTCCACAATCTTGGCCTCCATGCTCGCCGACAACAGCCCCGCCGTACCATACCTTCGACTCTCCTCCAGGTTGTCCGTCGACGCTCCCACGCCCGTTGATTCCGTCAATCCGTACCCCTGAAGAATGGTGACGCTCGGATATTTCTCCACGAATCCCTCAATCACTTCCCTGCTGAGTGGGGCCCCACCTGACAGAACCCTGCGCAGGGAACTCAGATCGTACTTGGCCTTGATCTGATCTGCAGCGTTGATGAGCGCAACCAGTATGGGAGGAACGAGCGGAAGGTAACTGACACGGTGCTTCTGGATGGCCCACAGCATGTCATGCATCTCGAACTTGGAGAGAACCACGATCGTTGATCCGGAGGCCAGTAGACCCGTGGCGAACGCTGCTAAGCCGTAGATGTGGAACATGGGAACCGTGCACAGGAACCTCTCCACCCCATCGTCGAGATTGAAGCGGCTGAGAACGACCCGCACCATCGCTATCAGATTCTTGTGAGACGACACCACGCCTTTACTCGCACCCGTAGTCCCCGACGAGTAGAGCAGAGTCGCTGTGTCATCCTGATTGATTTCTTCCTTCAAATTCAATCCTCCGTTGCTACTCCCATGCCTTTCCTTTTTCACCATCATCTCTCCCAAGGTCGACACAATTTTTCCATTTCCATGATTAGGAGCTTTAATTTCGTCGTCATCAATGAGCACGATGGAGAGATTAGTAGTTGAACCGCCAAGTTTGGAGATGAGTTGACGGGTTGTGAAGGCCAGCACCGGTTTGGAATCGGCGATTTGTTTGGCAATTTCGCCGGTCGTGTTGAGGGGGTTGGTGGTTGTTATAATCGCACCCAGCGACATCACGGCCAGGCACACCACCGGGAAGAAGATGGAGTTTGGGGACAGCAGCAGTACGACGTGGCCCTTTCGAATGCCCATGTCGGAGAGAGAGGAGGCAACTGAACGCACAGCACGCCAGAGTTGAGCGTAGGTGAGTTGGCGGCCGGTGGAGCCGTCGATGAAGGCGACGGTGCCACGGTGGGCCTGAGACGAAATGAAAGTGGTGATGTCCAAAAAATCGTTGTGAGGGAGTGGTATGGGCTTGCGCTTGCTGTAGAATGTCGAGCTGTAATTGCAGAATCCGCTTCTGCCATCCGCCTTTGCAGAGCCCATCACCGCCGTCGTCGTCATCACTACAATTTGCGATTTAGGATTAGATTAGAGAAGAGTTGCCTTTCGACTTTCTTTCCAAAATTTCTTTTTTGTTTGTTGGTCCAATCCAAACGTTTCAAAATGCGAGATTCCTTTTATAACCACTACAAATTGAATATTTGACCTTTGACCGCTCACCTGTTTGGTCACTGGACACACGGTTTTTCTCGTCTTCTCTTATTGTGCACGGGACACACATGTTCAAATACTTGTATGACCCAAACATTTTTATGGTTTGCCCTTCAATTGCCAAATGTTATTGGTATAGATTTATATAAAAAATCACAAATCGTACACTAACAAAGACTACTCGCAATGGAATTTGAACACTAATGGAGTTACACAGTGCATGATTTTTATATGAACGGGGGGTGGATATTTTTTATTTTCAATCTGTTTTATATGTGCCTGCGACATGTCCCACACATATTAAAATAAATTATTGTATGTTATGTTGTTTGAAAATGTCTCTTCCTCTTTCTTCTACTACCCAAAAACCAATGCGTAATGAAATGTATGTGGTCACATCATTCATTCATTCAGTTTTGTATTTTTTCTTTTGGAAAGAGATCACAATTCTGTATTTACTATGTATACTGGTTGCCGATCGAGCCAATTATGACTTTTCAGTTCTGGGTGGGCATGGCAGAACAAAAACTCGCTTTTTAAAATGGGCCTTTTCTTGGGCTCTGGTTCAGTAATCCGGGGGGTTTATCTTGAATTTGGGTTTGGAGCAACATTGGTGAAGCGAAGCCCATAACTTCGTCGACTCATTAGAATTTAGAACCAAAACTGGGTCAGCTCAGTTCTGGTTGACAGATGGGTTGTCAGGTGCGGAGCATTTTCTGAATTGAGATTTGAGATTTGAGAGTCTAGGGCTTCTCCTTGCGCAGAGAGAGAGAGAGAGTGATCTAGGAAATGGGGGGAGGACATGGAGAGGGCACCACGTACAAGGGCTTCACGGTGCATCAGCCTAAGCGATGGCACGCGCTCACCGGCAAAGGCATGTGTGCTATGATGTGGTAATCCCTCAGCTCTCTGTCTACATACTCTTTCTTCATCTTTCTCACAACTCTTCTTGACTGATTGACTCCGTTTTATATCTTACACTTATATTCCACTGATTTTGAATTTGCACGATTCAAATATTGATCAAATTTCAGTCAATTCAATGCACCTTGTCATATCCGATGTGCGTGCCTTGTTGTTTATCTTAAAGCATCGTTTTTTTTTTGGGGGCAACTTAGACATGGAGAAATGCTAACGGGAAGAAATGAGAATTCACTGAAACATTTGGGATTGAAGTTGGGGTATCTGGCTGTTGAATTTGGGTGGCTTGGGAGCTGAAATTGACTCATAGGATTTCTTGTTGTGAGTAACATTTGGTTGATGAGTAGGTTGTATGGAAATGGAACCTTAGTATCAAACATTACTTTCTGTATTTTCCTTGTGGGTAAGCTTATATTCTAGGCCGACTTCTAGTGGCTTTGGTGCTTGATTTTTAGCATAGAAGACACCAGTAATTGGAATCGTGCAATATGGTATAAAGTTGAAGTAGGGGATTGAGGTTTTCTTTAGGTGATTCGTGCATACAAATATTCCAGTAATGAATCATTACTCGGTTCATCTAAGTCTACCACTAAGTTATAGTTTTTCTTTCTTCCTTTTGAATTTTGGTTCTCTGTGTTGCAACTATAAGGATAAATATTGCATGTGAGTTTATGTTTCCGCCTCGCACTCTCTCTCCTTTTGAATTCTTTGTAGCTTACTGGTTTTGTTTAATTTATCAGGTTTTGGGTGCTGTACAGGGCCAAGCAAGATGGTCCTGTAGTTCTGGTAAGAGCTTCTCCTGTTTCAAATTTCTCTGTAATTCGATATACTTACATTACTCACTTTCTTATTATGTCTTTTAGGGTTGGAGACATCCGTGGGAGGGGCATGGTGATCATTCCCATGGTGATCATTAGGTACTGTTCATCCTTTTTTGTCTCAGCTATAACTACTTGACTAGCACTTATACTCGTAATATCCACTGTATTTTATTTGCTTTATGTGATACTTATTGTTTGGGGAGTGGGAGTCATACTCATGAACTCCTATTTAGAGTAGAGACCTGGCTACAAACTTGGCAATGTTGTAGCCGTGCTTTCACAGTGTTCACTAACTATCACATGTCTTTTGATTTAGAAGCATGCACTAGGCTTAGTAGTTATGGGTTCTTGAATGTGGTAGATGCAAGGATCGTGATGCTATATATATGGGAAATCTGTGGGTTTCCTAGCTACCAGGCTTAAGTATTTACATACTGGTTACAGTTTATGTTAGGTTTGTCTTATCTTTGTTAGCTTGTGTTTCGGTTTATTAATTAATTTATTTATCAATTAGACTTTCAATAAGTAATTTATTTGCGTGGAAAGGAATGTGAAATGAAATCATCTTTAGTGTATTGTTGCAGGGGTCCTGTTGAAGAGCGAAGAATTGGAATCATAAAGGGCTTTTCCGGTGGGATACTAATGAAAATCTCGTGTGGAACTTGTTTGTTGATTTCTGTTTAATAAAGTGATTGTGAAGAAAGAGATTGTGATGAGCATGATGGCATGAAACTACGTTTCAGAATGTTAAATTTATGATGTTTGTATGCTGCTATCCTGTAAACACATTGTGAGGTTGAAACTAGTTGCATTTTGCTTCGACTTCATTTCTTTCTTTGCAACTCATTTGAAAGTTCACTGTGTTATGAACAGTTCCAAAACATCATATGTATAATAAAACAGGAAAAATCAGGTGGTATGCGAAATGTTTAGCCAATGTATAACTCGTTTTATAGGATAAAACGGTCTCACAGGTGTGAATAATATGAAAAAAATGAGTCTATTGTAAAGAATCAAAGAATTTGTTAACATATTCAAATAAAAAACAAAACAAAAAATAGAAGGATTGGGTTGATAGTAGGATAGTTAGCTAGGCCTAGGACTCTAGGAGGAGGGGGCTGGCTAGTTGGTGGTGGTAAGTATATTGAGAAGCGCAACTCTGGTGTGGATCAGACGCCTAAACATGCAGTCTAACTCGGCTTCAAGATCTTGAATGGCAATCTCTACAGCGTCCAATCTTTTGCTGGCACTTTGAAGCGCGGTTGCGTCGCATATGTCATACACTCTCTGTCTGTTTCCCCAACTCCAACTTGGACGCATGAACTTGGCCTTGATGAATATGGATTTGGTAGTACTAGTAGCTGATTTCCGGTCGAGCCAAGGTATGGAAATTAGGGACAAGAGAGTCTCCACGATGGAAACGGCGGTCACCCTCACTTGTCTCAGCACATCTACCACCACCCTAAGGTTGTGGTCCATGTATATGGGGGATGACTCTAGTAGTGGTTGTGCAGTACAGATACACATGGACGACTTGTTCTTTTTGATCCCTTTGAAAGAATTCAAGCACTTGAGCGTCTCTTGCTTGAGCTTCTTCCTGTAGCAATTGTAGGCTCCCATTTTGTTATCAATATCCGCTTCTTGGTCGCTGCTTACTCTGCGCAACAAGGATTGAAGGTCTCGGAGACGCTCTTTTACCATTAAAAGAAGGTCTTTGGAAATGCCGCACACATCCAACATTCGCAGAGATGCTTCTGAGACTTGATGAACCCATTTCTCCTGTCTGTCATGGACGAGTCCTTGTTGGATCATGGGTGAGTAGAGAAGGTTATTTGCAGAGTTATGCAGGTCTTTCAGAGCTTCAAAGTTTGGACATGCGATTGCCATGGTCACTATTCTTAATTTGATGACTTTGAGTGAGATGAGGATGATGATGATGATGTACGTAGTAGGTGGTAGCTAAGCTTAAGGTACGTAGAGAGTTTGTGGTTGTGGATATGATATGCAGTAGCTAGTGTTTGCAGTGTGCGATATATACCTCTACATCTACATCGTCTGAACCCTACCCTACATAGTGATGAAGCTAAAAGAAAGACACAGCTTTAGCCTTAGGCTGAATAATATTATGACTTAGATCTGAGATCTTCATGGAAAGGAAAGGACTCGGAAGAATCCTTTGGATGAGTACGGACAGAGTTGGAGATCCCTTTCCTTTGTATAGTTAACAGGACAGCTAAGCCTAACCTAAGGGAAGGAAGGGACACCAATTTGTATTGTTCGAACCTTCCAGAAATGAATGTATATATGTATATACAAAATATCCAGTAGGATATCGGAGTAGGAGATATTGTTGTTGGTGATTAGAGCCATAAGGCTAATCATACATGCACGAGGGAAGGCTGCCAGCCTGGTTTTGGTTGTTAGAAACCAGACAAGAGATGTTTCTGACGAACATATTAATCAATGATCAAGACTTTGTTATAAAATGATCACTTCATTTACTTTACAGTGCTGTCTCTTGTCTGTGTGCATATGCTTTTGTTTTCTCAATGTACGTGCGACTTAGTACATGTGTATATATATATATATATATTCTGACACCAAAATCCACAGTTGGACAAGTTAAACGACCGACCTTCCAAGAAGTTGATCATGTCAAAGTTCATTCACGTTCACGTTCACGTTCATGTTCACACAGAGTCAGGGCTAGCTAGCTCCTTCTTCCTTGTCTTAAAAGAGAGAGAGAGAGAGAGAGAGAGAGAGAGAATGACCTTGACAATCTCTTTGCTCATGTAGCCCAAATACGAAAAAGCAATGGGCTCATCACTCCAGATTGATGACCCAACAAATGATCAGCCCATAAATCATATGATATGAAGCGAGCTGGGCTTCATTTCTACTGCATTTTTTGTTTTTTGTTTTAAATCATATCAAATCAAATCAAAGAAAACCAAAAATGAAATAAAAAGAAAATGAGATAAGGAATGGATAGCATGTCGAACACGTAGGCACAGCCGAAGAAGCGTCCAAAGTTGATCATTTTTATGGTGTGGCTTGCTTCAACTCTGTTTGAAGAAGCAAAAGTTCTAAGTTTGAAGCTTTGCCACGATGACGATATACGTATGTGATTTGACACTCACACTCCCTCCATTATAAAATATGATAATTCATTACCCGTCCGGTGCGTGTAAGTCAGCGTAATATCCTAAAGCAAAGGCAAACGCAAATCTGAATTTATTATTTGGAAAATAGCTGAAAACCCCCAACTTCCTTTGCCCTTCCGAGCCATGGCTTCAACCACCAACACCTTGCTCTCTTCTAACTTTTTTGGGACTAGAATCCTACACTCTCCTCCAACCCCAAAAACCACCTCCAGATGCACATCAGCACCAATTCCTCTGCCCTTCTTCTCCAAGAGAAACCTTTTTACCACCAAAAACATTTTCAACCAGAAACCCAATTCCGAGCCCCTCAAATCCGCAACATCCCAAGCCACTTTAGCTGCCTTACTCTTCTCTTCAGTCACTTCACTCACCCCACAAGCCCTAGCCTTAGACGCCACACCCACCCCCACACCCCCACCTGTTCTCCAAGCCCAGCCTACCAAACCCAACGCCTCCTCCCCTTTTTCTCAGAATCTCCTCGTTACAGCCCCCAAACCCCAATCCCAGGCCGCCACTGATCTCCCTGAAGGCAGCCAATGGCGCTACAGCGATTTCTTGAACGCAGTCAAGAAGGGCAAGGTCGAAAGAGTCAGGTTCAGCAAGGACGGTTCTGGCCTCCAGCTCACTGCCGTGGATGGCCGACGAGCCTCCGTCATTGTTCCCAATGACCCGGACCTTATCGATATTTTGGCCATGAACGGCGTCGATATTTCAGTGTCCGAGGGCGATTCGGGCAATGGATTGTTCAATTTCATCGGGAACTTGTTGTTCCCAATCTTGGCCTTCGCGGGATTGTTCCTCCTTTTCCGGCGAGCGGGAGGTGGTCCCGGAGGGCCTGGTGGGCTTGGTGGGCCTATGGACTTCGGAAGGTCCAAATCCAAATTCCAAGAAGTTCCAGAGACGGGGGTGAGTTTCTCTGATGTAGCTGGAGCAGACCAAGCAAAGCTGGAACTGCAGGAGGTGGTTGATTTCTTGAAGAACCCAGATAAGTACACTGCCCTTGGAGCCAAAATCCCAAAAGGCTGTCTTTTGGTGGGTCCACCTGGTACCGGCAAGACCCTTCTGGCTCGGGCCGTGGCCGGCGAGGCTGGGGTGCCGTTTTTCTCTTGCGCAGCTTCAGAGTTCGTGGAATTGTTTGTGGGAGTGGGTGCGTCGAGAGTGCGGGACTTGTTCGAGAAGGCCAAGTCGAAAGCGCCGTGCATTGTGTTCATTGATGAGATTGATGCGGTGGGGAGGCAGAGAGGAGCAGGTATGGGAGGTGGGAATGATGAGAGGGAGCAGACCATTAATCAGCTGTTGACGGAGATGGATGGCTTTTCGGGTAATTCCGGTGTCATAGTTTTGGCGGCTACCAACCGGCCGGATGTTCTTGATTCGGCCTTGTTGAGGCCCGGTAGGTTTGACCGACAGGTGACCGTGGACAGGCCTGATGTTGCTGGGAGAGTTAAGATACTGCAGGTTAGTGAGTTTTAAATCTTAATCAATGCCTACACTATCAGTTCAATTGGCTTCATTTCATTTTATCTCATCCTTTCCCACGGACCATAGTAGATAATTTAGTCGTTAACAAAACAGTATGCTTATTGACACACAAGAACATGAGCAGCTGATGTACGTATGTATGTTCTCAAGTCTGTTTAATCACTAATTCAGTGTGTCTTGTGAAGCATAAAATCTATACATACATATGTATGCATTTGTATAGTATCTATTCTTATTTTTCACATAAGGTATCTCTATAAATCGAATTTTTTCGTTTGTTTTAATTAAGCATATCTAGATATTTGTTTCATGTTTTAGTGAGGTTGAAAGTTGTTTCAGTAGAATTAATTATTCCAGTTCAACAAACTAGAGCGCAATGTTTCAAGTCTCTGAGAATCCAAACCTTCCTATCTGTACCCATATTCCCAACTAAAGCACTTCTTTTTTTCTTTTTTTAATGGCAGGTGCACTCTAGAGGGAAGGCACTAGCAAAGGATGTGGACTTTGAAAAGATTGCAAGGAGAACACCTGGTTTCACGGGGGCTGATCTGCAAAACCTGATGAATGAAGCTGCCATTCTTGCAGCCAGACGCGACCTCAAAGAAATAAGTAAAGATGAGATCTCTGATGCTCTGGAGCGAATAATTGCTGGACCTGAGAAGAAAAATGCTGTGGTCTCAGAAGACAAGAAGAAATTAGTCGCCTACCATGGTATATAGAACAAGACCCGTTCTCCCCATCCCATAGAACTTGTTATTTTGCAATCAAATTTTTTTTTTTTTTTTTTGGGATTGTTTATTCATCTATCACTATTCGTTGCAGAGGCCGGGCATGCTCTTGTTGGTGCTTTAATGCCAGAATATGATCCTGTAGCTAAGATATCCATCATCCCTCGTGGCCAAGCCGGTGGTCTAACCTTCTTTGCTCCAAGTGAAGAGAGACTCGAGTCTGGACTGTACAGTAGAAGCTACCTGGAGAATCAAATGGCTGTTGCCCTTGGTGGAAGGTTAGTTCTACAAACTCTTCAGTTTTAATGTCCTAAAAGAGCGTTTCAATTTCAGAAGGCTGTATTAAAAATCCTAGTGCATATGAGAAATTGTGTCCTCACACTATTGGCATTGCAGGGTTGCCGAAGAAGTTATCTTTGGTCAGGAAAATGTGACAACAGGGGCATCAAGTGACTTTATGCAAGTTTCAAGGGTGGCAAGGCAGATGGTTGAGAGATTTGGGTTCAGCAAAAAGATCGGACAAGTTGCTATCGGTGCTGGTGGTGGCAATCCCTTCTTAGGTCAACAGGTAGAGCAGTGGCTAGACTTTAATGCATTATTCTCGTTTGATGTGTGTTTTACTTGTGCCCGTGGGATACAAGATAACTGATGGAAAAGATGAGCTAGCTAACTAACTAACTGCCCATGGCTTGTATATGTGTTTCAATTGCAGATGTCGTCCCAAAAAGATTACTCCATGGCAACTGCTGATATTGTGGATGCAGAGGTAAGGGAGTTGGTAGAGAAAGCTTATTCAAGGGCCACGCAGATCATCACAACCCACATCGATATCCTCCACAAACTAGCCCAGCTCCTCATGGAGAAGGAAACTGTTGATGGTGAAGAGTTCATGAGCCTCTTCATTGATGGGAAAGCTGAGCTATATGTTGCGTAGTTGGGACACTCGAGCAAATTCATGTATTATCAGTCAGCGTAAAAATGTTGTATTATAAAGTTCATATACACAATTACACATTACGAACCAATTAATTTTTTAATGAAATTAGGAAGCAAAATAATGGCACAATAGTTGGACTGAAACAAATTTCCCCTACCCCATCATACATGATCTACATGTTTTGTTACAACTGCTGCTGCTCCAGCTTCAATACAAAAAAGAACCAAGTAAAAAATAAAAAATCTATGGCGCCAATTGTGTCACAAAAATAATTACAAGGCATTTCATTCAAGATCCTCTCTCCTCTCTATCTATCTATCCTCTCCCTCCCCGTTGTCTTTTCTCTTCCAAGGTAGCAGCCTCATTCAGCATATCAGCTGCATCCTTGTGCATATCTAGCTTGGCAAGAGCAACGGCCTGCATGTAAAATGCTGTGGACCAGTCAGGGTAGACACATTGCGCTTGCATTGCATCTCGGAGGGCAGCATCTGGTTGATCACAAAGCAGATGGCATAGACTTCTTCGTGCATAGACAGTCGGAGAAACCATGGTCCCCACATCTATGAACTGCATTATAAATAGAAGGAAATTAATTAAGCATAGTTGCAATTACCCTAAAAGAAATTAAGATGGCCATCCTATTTTCTAATTACGAAAACAGCTTTTTTATTAGGTTGAGTCTCTGATATGAATACCGGTTCGGAACTCATTATCTACGAGAGAAGAAATGAAGTGCCTGACCCTTGTGGCATTAAAATACTAATCAAGTGTAAACTTGTTAAATGGGGGACAGGAATGCATACTCTACCTCCTATTGCAGAATGCATACCTGAGAGTAACAGTCCATTGCTGATCTAAAATCTTTGTCACGAAATGCTAAGTCACCACGCTTTCGCGCCTCCAACATATCCTTCATTTGCTGAGTCCATTCTTGGAAAGACAACTAGCACAAAGACAAACAGTTTCAGAGAGGCATCAGAGAACCATCTGAACCTACCTGTGCACAATCCAATTACCTCATTGGTTCCTTCATCATCTTTGTAGTGTGTCATTAACAAAATTTGATGGATGGCTGTGAGGTCCATCCTTGAACAGGCATCGCCCATGGCAGAAAGAGGATGTTGTGGAGTCGGAGGTGCTTCCTCGTGCTTTGGAATTCCCAACATCGCATAAGATGGAACCTACAAAGCATTGTCCTTATAAAAAATTGCTGACTACGCATGTTTCAGAAAATGTAGAGGTAGTTGAAATTGCTTTGAGGGAACAAAATCAGACTGGGAAGGAGTGAGATTTTGCTTGACAGAGAATGACAAGAACAGGAAACATACAAGGATGTTAAAAGTATAAAGAAAATAAACTGCATTTATTTAGGGAGCATAGTTGCACTACTTTTGGTTCAGAATGTTGGTGGTGATAATATTTTAAAAAAGGCAATGTTTAAGAAACAAACAGAACGAAAACAACATGAAATTGCATCCATGAGGAGAAAAGGCAGGAAGACTTACATCAGATTTATTTTGCAGTGGGGCAACTGTTGCAACAAGGTCTTTGGTATTTGGCCGCTCCCTGGGTTCATATTGCAAACATCGTGAGGCAAGATCAAAAACCACAGTCGCTTGTTCAGTAGAAAAATTTCCCTCCAGGTGTGAATCCATTAAGAGAATAATGTTTTTGCCACGAATCATATCAAGAGCCTGCAACACAAACATAAATTATAAGGAGACTCCGTAATCCAAAGTCAGCCTACATAATTATTTATTAAAAACTAAAAGATCATCCAGACAAAGGACCCCTTATTGCCGAGTACTAAGACTTCCGAGTTAGGGGCATTTGAACAAGCAACTCCTCTATTACCAATTTACCATACAGCGTATGGACTTCCGCATAACTCATTGGCAGAAGAACTGCACTTTAATTTTTAAAGACCATGGGTCCATTCCAAACTGAGTGAGTGGAGAACAAGGGCATGACATGGTAAAATACTTACATGAGTAGGAGGGATGTGTTTCCCACTGAGAAGATCCAAAAGGACAGTCCCAAAGCTGAAGATAACACTTTCCGGAGTCACCCTTCCTGCAGCATACACATATTATAGTTGGTAGGGAAGTCAAAGTAATTCATAAAGCCAAGAAGGACTCTTCATAAAACATAATCTCCATGCGGTGAAAATTATCACATTATATCATGTCAAGTTATGGAGCAAAATATTTCTTACACAAACTAGCAAGGGCATTTCACAAAACTTTCAAAACAATGACCAAGGCTTACCTGCTTCCAATAGTCTTATTCATTGCCTCACTATGTGTTCAGTTTACATTCTTAAGTTATCTCACATTACTATTTTTATTTAAAGACAGCCTTATGTCTGCTAGCACAATCAGAAACCTTACGTACTACAGAAACATCAAACTCAGTTATTGATGAGTACGCTAACATGTTAATGCCACATACATAAATAAATATCATAATAGCAGTTTCAATTATGTATTTATTGGCATGGAATTTTAAAAAATCTTCCAATTACATGGATCTCAATCTTCTTAATTCTTTTCAGCATAAAACTTAGTAACGTCGTCCTGCCAACTCTTACGACAACCTTAAGACATACCAATTTGCATCAAAGCATTCCTCCCAAACAATAGCATAAATATCTGAAGCATACATTGACTAAGAATATTGCACCCAAATCATTTTATATTATATCCAAACTGTTACAGACACATGTGTTCAAAAATGAAACTTTCTTAATGATTCAGATTTATCTCATACAACGAAAAGAGTATCTCAAAAAATTTCAAATAGATAATAAGAAGGAAGATAAGCAGCTACCATTTCTTAGATATTCAGGGGGTGTATACGCAAGATTAGTGCTGTAACTTTTTCCATCCCTACTGTTTTTCATCAACCCAAAACAAGAAAGCCGAGGATCACCATTCTGCCAAGACCATCCACAAAATTACCACTTTGATCTCAAGTAAATCCATGTATTCTTGGGATGACATATTTTAACACAAAAGGAAATGTCTACTCATTAAAAAAAACAAAATAAAAAAGATACGCGATGACATTATTTTACTTCTTTTAAATACTGAAAAACTAAATCTTCAAACTTGGGATAAGATTTGAGACAGCACCTCATCAAAGAGAACCCTATATGCATTTAAGTCATGGTACAATGAGCGGCCTTCACCGCTGCAATAATCCAATGCTTCAGCAATGTATAGAGCAACCCTTAACCGCATGGCCCACTCAATGGTCTGATTCTCCCCTGTCAAGAAAGTGTGAACGGAATTTTATATCCGAAATACTTTGAAAAACTCTAGTCAATAAATCTGAGAGGTCAAAAACGAAATAGAAATCATAATTTGAAATGGAAATAACAAACAGAACATATGCGCTCTCAAAAGCCAGGATGCCCCAATAAATCAACATCTATGGAAAAGAGGAGAAAGTTATATATTTTTGCAGGACTGACAACAAACCTAAATTGCAAATTAAAGTTTGCATGGATTTTCACATCAAATATTGATTATACACAAATTACAATACATACAACCAATGGTATTCCTATTCTCTCAACTGAATAGTCCCTATAGCTGAATTCTAAATTCTACTAACTCGCTGAAACGCAATGCAATTTTAAAATACAGTTATAAAAAAACTCAAAAGGGCGTTCCTTTCCTCCTCACATTTCAGGCAATTAGTCAAACCGATTTGATTTCTCGTGCAGAAAATAAAAGCCAAGAATTGAGTTGGTGGTGAGGAAAGGAATCAAACAAAATCATTGAAGAATAAGAGGAAGAGTTATAAATCGAACTGTTGAAAGAATTTTATTTTTTCCTTGTTTTAAAAGCATACAGTGGAATAGATGTTTGGCAAGGGTATCATTGGGCATGTACTCGGCCACCAGCAGTCTCTCGTCGCCGTCGCAGCAATACCCGATCAAATTGGCAAGCCTTTTGTGCCTCAGCTTCCCAACACCCCAAGCTTCATCCTGAACCCCCAACCCAAAAGAGAAGAAAAGAAATCCAATTAAATTGGAAATGGCAACCCTAAGCAAAATTGCAAATGGAGGGAGAAAAATAAGAGAGAGAGAGAGAGAGAGAGAGAGAGAGAGAGAGAGAGAGAAAGAGAGGGAGAGGGAGAGAGAGAAATAGTGAGCATACGGCGAATTGCTTAGGGTCAGGCCAGGCCAATTTGGTAAATTTCTTGATGGCGATCCAACTAGGACTATTTTGGTTCTGGAGGCGGCCCTTGTAGACGACATTGGGGGCTTTGTCGCCGCTCTCGGAGACGATGAAGTCGGAGCTGAAGTTATTGGTGGCGTTTTTCAAGTCGGCCAGCGAGAACTCCGAGAATCCCAGTACGGCTCCCGCGGACTCGGTTCCGTTGGAGGCTTGAGGAGCCTGGTTGTTGTCGGTGGCAGTAGTGTTGCGGCGGTGCAGGTACTGGTGCTGACGTCCACGTATAAACGACGACTCACAGCACCCCATAACTCGGCCGAGCTGACTCAGTGACCCGCCTCAGCCAGCTCTTGTTTGATAAACATGTATGTATGTATGGATGTATGTAAAGTAATATATACACAGATATATAGAGAGGCAGAGAAAAGAAAAAGAGAGAGAGAGAGAGAGAGAGAGAGAGGTGGAGGGAGGGAGGGAAGTGCAGCGGCCGCAGGGGAAAGATCTCTATCTAAGGAGAAGTGACGTTGAGCTGCAGCTTTCTTTTCCTTCTCATTGCTTGCTTGCGTTCTCTTTCTCTTCTTTCTTCACTGACAAAACCTCTGTTTCCTCCCATCCTAACTATTGTTGAATTGTCCTTTCTCTCTTTCTTTCTTTCTATGTCGTAAAGAGTATTATGGTACTCAATCAGCCTCGTCTCGTCTCGTCTCGTTTCGTCTCGTACCATCAAAATCTCACAGCACCGCAGGCACGACAAAAGTAACATCCAAATCTTAATCTTATGGCCACAGGCTGGCGGTGACCAACAAAAGTTGACAATGACATCATTAAACAAGTATCCTAAGATTAAATAGCAAAAGACTTGTTACTTTTATGATTTTATCGTCTTTTACTTATTATAGATATTTATAAAAAAATATATCTGACTAATGACTAATGTCTAAAGAACAATCCACACAAATCCCGATACTAATTTTTTTATATTTTTTTTAAACATGCCATTATTTAATTTTCGTTTATGTAACAGCTTTTTTCATTATGTGTCTAATTTTTTTTTTTCAAGAGCATGCATAATGCATTAATATTATTATTATATACTCTTCTTTTCTCCATTAGTTTTGTTTTAATTTGTTTCCCTAAGAACATCTACAGTGGGGGTGTATATATAGAGGTGTATGTTAAATATACGCTCCGAGTCACCGGAATAGTTTCTAATAGGAAGATGTAAATGGATGTAAATATACATCACCACAATAGGTTTACATCTATTTTTACATCTTTTGCAGGCGGGACCCATCTGAGAAAAGAGAAGAAAAATGAAGAAAAGTCAACATAAAAAGCTGGGACCCACGACTACACCCCCAAATTTACACCCTTTCATTGGAGCAAAAAACATATTTACACTCCCCGGAAGTGTAAAAGGAATATAAAAATGACTTTATACCCCCGAATTTACATCTCTCTACTGTGAATGCTCTAACAATTAAACAAGGGGACTGACTTATATCAGCTAATACGTATACGCGTACGTGTGAATGTGATCATATGAAGCCTAAAAGATAAGAGGGTGCGTCTCGTCTCTTCTCGTTTGAAGCTCCACTTGCTGCCAATTCCAAGTGGACCTTTTTGTATTGTATATCTCTTTTCTTTGTTTCACTTCAAACTATTATGTCTAATTATGGGGTTGACCAAAAAATTATGTCTAATTATGGGTTTTTAGGTTTTATCGTCTTTGAATTTTGATCTAATTCGCATTTTTGTTCATTAGTTTTTAAAATTATTCTTGTGATCTTTCAACTGTAGTTTCGTTAGGACAAATAATCAAAACCAGTCCTGACTCATCTAAGACCCAATGTAAAAGTCTAGAGTGTGCCCTTCATAGAAAAATTAATCATTGAGATGATAACTTTTGGTAATAAGCCATTTTCTTCCATCAATTGCACAATATCTACCAAATCCTCCAATTACGGCCAAAATTATACACTACAAATCTAGAAAGCACAAATGACATTCAAAATACACAATAACATAACAATAACCATTTTCTAACGCCATATAAAAGTAACAAAAGGATTGAATCATTTGTGCATAATATGATAATTTGTGCAACATAGATGGTAGTCATCTACAAAGAATAAATCATTAGCAATAGAGACAACTACCGTGGAAGTAATTAAAAATAAACAAAATCCGAATACAAACAAAAAATAAACAAGATTAAAGATATCAAACTTGCAAGGAAAATAAAACCCTAATTAAAGCAACACAATCACACAATCTGCTAATAAGATATGATCTCATATCTAACTTGAGAGAGAGAGAGAAAAGAAGAAGAAGAAGAAGGTCAAAACCAGAAAAAGATGCGAAAATCGCAGAAAGAAAACAAAAAAGAACAAGAAGAGAGGGAGATGAAAAAATATTAAATTGTAAACAGTTTCATAGAGAAAGTCAAAACACATTCATCCTCTATTAGCACGCGGCTGCTCTCCGTGGGAAGAATGAGTCTTTACTTTTGTATTTAAGTTTGCAATTATTCAGTGTTTTTTGGGGCCATAATATATGGGCTATAAAAGATTTGTGCGCCCCTCTCAAATTTGGGCCTTGTGCCGTTACTAGTCTTATCGTTAATTTTATTAAAATTTTCTGTTAAATTTGAGCATGTGTATGGCACATGGTGTAGTATTAAGGGTTAAAATTGAAAATTGCTTTACTCTCACTATCAAAAAAATAAAAAAAAAGTGGCAATAGTCACCAAATAATGGTGACTGTTGCCACCTTTTTTTTTTTATTTTTTGGGTAGTGTCTTAGGGTGCATAGGAAAATTTCAGTGGGGTTGGGTTGGAGAGGTTGTTGTTACTATGGCGATGATAGGAAGAAGGTTTTTAAGTTTTTAGTTTTATTTTTTATTTTTTATTTTTTAAGGTGAAAGGAATATTCAGATAGTAGAAATTAAAAATAATACAAAAAAATCATTTTGCCCTTGCATTTATTGGAAAAGATAATAAAATTAATCCATGACCATTTGTCCTAACAAAATTGAAGTTGAAGGACCACATAAACTATTTTGAAAATTGAGATACCAAAATGTGAATCATGTCAAAATTCAAGGACCATTAGACCTAAAAACCAGTCTAATTATTTATTTATGCTATTCGTCAAAGCCCTTCTCAGTTTTTCACCATCGCTCATAGAGTCATAGCACATATGATATATTATATAGTCAGTCTTAAATCAAAATATGCAAAAAGACGGATGAAGTATTTGTTTTTGTTTTTTTTAACATTAGAGTTCGACCTTGGGTTCAAAGTGGGGTGCCATGGGAGAAAAGGGAAGCCTTCGACCCTGGGGTTCGAACTGGAGTGCCATGGGGGTAAGGGGGAAGCCACCACCATTGTGGTGGGAACCCATTGGCACAGATGAAGGCTTTTAGTTTGCCTTGTTGTATTGTAATTTGTATGTAATAAAAGTTCCCTTTTAATCATCAGTAGGTAGTTTCAAATAATTGAACCAATTCGTTTTGTCTTTCAGCAATCTTGGCATCTCAAAATTTCCCCCTCTACTCTTATTGATTCACATTTATACATGATCAACTTCAAAGGCACCATTAAGCACGCACCCATTGCAACAAATATAATGCAATTAATTGATATCAAGAAATTAGCTAGGGAGGGACAACCACACACCTAATTTTCTATTACAATAAATAATCATCACTAGATTCCAGATTCAGGAACAAGCCTCTAGAATCTAGATGGATCATGGAAGATTACATGCCAGAAAGTAAGACTCTAGGTAATTCTAATTTATAAAGTACGTACTACGTAGGAGAAACAAGTCCTGGACTTGTAATTATTCAGACACACAGGCCGGGGCTGTTGACTTGTACAATGTGTGCATCAAGCTCTTCGTATGCTTTCAGTGAGTTTGCAGTGAATTTTTCCATGGCCATTAATGTCTGCTTCAGATCCCATACTAGATTCCTTGATCTATTATTATACTCTCTCTCTCCACCCTCCTCTTGTGCTGCCTGCAAACTCAAACCAATAATATTCTTTTTTCCTCTACCTCGCATCAGCACCTTTTGCATTATCCTTTGCTCCTCCTCCTCCTCCTTCCCCTCCTCCACAAGCCTTAGTTTCCTTGCTACATCTTTGTTTTCAATTGCCATTCTTTGCAGCAATGTTTCTGCATCAACGTGGTGTTCCATTAAAAGCAAATGTATACGAGTGTAAAATCCCCGGATAGCTTCAATAACTTCCTTCCCTGAGAGTCTATCCATAGCTTGAGACCACTGATTACATATCACAAAAGCTGGGGGTGCACCGAGTCTACCAGGAGACAGAGGTACTACTTCTGCTGCATCACCCTCCTCATCTGACTGCGGTGATGGTTCCTGTAGAAGACATCTGAGAAGCCAACCATTTAATGCTTTTACATACCCCTTTTGGGTGGCAATCCAATTGGAGAAGCATACATTCCAGTTTTGAAGCTCTAACTTGAGTTGAATTGCGGTTTCAAGATCATGCACACCGTTCAACTTCGCGTTGGATATTGCAATTGCATCCAAACCCTTGGAGGCTTCCGCAATTGCTTGGTATTGACTCTTGTGACATTCGACCATACCTTTCCACATTCCAAGTAATCTGCACAACAAGTCAATTATCCATACCACATGATCATGATGTGTAGTATATTGTGACATTTTGTATGACTTGTACCTACTCCTCATTCAAAACAGAATTCAATCAATCAGACAGACGCGTGGTACGTACCTGTGAATGAATTCAACAATCTGCGGCCACAACTCCTCGTCCCTCAACTTGTTTATGGTAACTGATATTTTGTCAACAATATGAATTGCAATTTTCATTTTTGTTGAAACATTGCGAAGTGCAGTCCGAACAGATTCAATTTTAGGAGACTCAGCGGTGGCCTTATTGTGTTCCAATTGTTTCAGCATTCGACTCTTCTTCTCATGCGTTACGCGCAATCTTTCCTCAGCCTAATTCATTTCATTATAAGCAAGCAGGATGTATAAAATCATAAATGACATTGACAACAAACTCAAGTGCAGACGAATATGCTCAAAAGCCTTAAAAAAAGACACCCCATGACAGATTAAGCGTACCTTGACTTCGCCGTAAAGTTTCTTTTCCCACAAGAAGAGC